TGGCCCTTTTTCCCCTCAGCACACAGGCCACCTGGCCCTGCCTCTGCCTACAGCTGTCACTTGCTCTCACAGGGCTATGGATCCCGTACTGAAGGCCATCAAGGAAGGGGATGAAGAAGCCTTGAAGGTCATGATCCAGGATGGGAAGAATCTTGCAGAGCCCAACAAGGAGGGCTGGCTGCCGCTCCATGAGGCTGCTTACTATGGCCAGCTGGGCTGTCTGAAAGTCCTGCAGCAAGGTGAGGGCCAACTCTGTAGGGCCAGCAGGGACACAGGGCTCTCCCTTGGTGTGGGGGGCAGGCAACATATACATAGTTAAATCACTGTGTTGGGGGAGGGTGGACAAGCCCTGCCCCTGCCCCTGCCCCTGCCCTGCCCCTGCCCCTGCCTGCTGTGGTCTCTCCACAACTTTCAGACAGGAAAACCTAATTCCTAGAAACGGAACAGGGAATAGCAGAGTTCTGGGACAGCCACTGCCAACTTGTTTCAGAATGTTCCAGGGGATGATTTGGTGTGGAAAGAACCACAACTGTGCCTGTGTACTACCAAGGCTGTCCCCACCAACTGTGGGACACTGGGCCAGTTCTGCCTCATCTCCAAATCCCATCTTCCTGTTAGGACAGATTAGAATAAATGATATCAACAGGCAGGTATTGCCTTGACCATTGAATGGCTCCGACTCCCACCAGCCACACTGGGACATGCTAGCAGTGACCAAGAGGGCAAAGAAAAAAATAGAGACTCAGAGCTAGAGGCTCAACCTGGTGAGGCTTCCCAGAGGAAGTGACATTGAGTTGCATTTCTACAAGCAGGGCCATGAGGGGCAAGATGAAAGCCATCTGGGCTTGATAGATTTCAGAAGAAGCGGTTCCACCCTTGCTCAGAACTGTGAGGAAGCCAGAACATGTGTGGGTAGTGTGGCTGCCTTCCTTCTTCACAGATTTCCCGCTCTTCCCTAGCCTACCCAGGGACCATTGACCAGCGCACACTACAGGAGGAGACAGCACTATATCTGGCCACATGCAGGGAACACCTGGACTGCCTCCTGTCGCTGCTCCAGGCAGGGGCAGAGCCTGACATCTCTAACAAATCCAGGGAGACTCCACTTTACAAAGGTAAGTCCCTAGGATGGGCTTCTCATGGACCAGGAAGCCTGGAAGCCAAGTGGGCAGCTTACAGACTACTCCCAGGATTATACAGTTCTGAGGGGTCCACTGTGCAGAGGGTAATGCCCTTCCAAGACGCATGGGGACATGTTAATCCAATCTTGCATTTACACATGGGATCATCCAGTATTTCTCATGTGTCCTTCCCCAGGTCAGCATGCTGAGGGACACTGAAGCCTTGGGATGAAAAGATATGACATATGTCTGTGGGCTACACCAAGCATGAGCACTTACTCAGACCACCGGCATGTAGATCTTGGCAGGAGGAGGGATGGGATTGTGTGGAGGGGGTACCTCTTAGAGGGATGCCTGAGTTGAGTCTCACCAGGAAGGGGTTAACCAGCTGGCCAAACTTTGGGGACAGCATGGGCAAAGGCCAGAAGGCAGGAGAGACAGTGCACACCTCTGCTATGTTTATGTAAGCAAAAAAGTCACCTGACTGACTTGGGACTACCTCAAAGTTATGCCCTGACTGCACTAGCCAGGCTCAGTGTCAGTAGATGGATGATCCATCACAATAGCTGGCTCCTTTGAGGGCTGTGTGCCAGGCGAGGCACTTTCCTTAAGCCCCATATTCATCTCTACACTCGGTAAGCGTTGCTAGTGCCTCCATTTTATACATAAGGACCAAGGCAAATCTCCTGTAGGTTAGGCATTCAGCACACATAGTATTCTGTAGGAAATGAGGGCCCGAGAGAGCAGGCGTCTGAAACTGACATGGGAGTGTCTTCTATGGGACCCTTAGTGGTTACCTGGGACTTCAGCTGTCCCAAAGAGAACTGTAGGATAGGAAGCCAGCTAAATACTAGCCAGTAGCTTGGCCCTATCATGTGCCAAAGCCCCAGGCTGTGTCCTGTGTGTGGCCTCCTGTGATTCCCTCCCCCCCCCACCTCCTCCAGGAAGGCTCTGCCATGTGGTTTCCAGGGAGAGCACCAGGGCTTATGATGTGGAGAGCCGAGACCCGTTGAAACTCAATAGGCAGCTGCTCCCCTGTGTCCGGCCTCCTCCCCAGGGAGGTTTGTAGAGCTGTTAATTGGCTCATATGCCTTGGTGACTCTAATGCCTTCTATGGCTCCCAGGTGAGAACTAGGGGCCAGAGCCAAGGTCACATTTAAGATCTTTTGACAGAGGAAGCAGAATGGGAGCTTTGAGGAGGATGAGAAAGATGAGTTATACTCAGAAGATAATGCTAACCCAAGTTGAATGTGCATTTTTGCTGTATAGATTCTTTCAGCCCTAGTGTCTGACATAACATTGAAAAGGATAATTAATTATGAACCCTTTAGAATATTCTAGGGGGCAGAGTCTCTGGATGTGGCTCTCTAGGTTGGAATCCCAGTTCTGACTTTTACTCCCTGTGTGACCCTGAGTAAGTCACTTACCCTCTCTGTTTCACCTTCCTCATTTACGGATGTAGGTATTGACATTGCATTCTTCAAGGGTAGTTGGGAGGAGTTAAACCAGTAAACTGCCAAATCTTCAGGGCCACCCTGACTATCTGTCTTCTGCCTGGTCCAGCCTGTGAGCGTAAGAACGCAGAGGCGGTGAGGATATTGGTGCGATACAACGCAGACACCAACCACCGCTGCAATCGGGGCTGGACTGCACTGCATGAGTCTGTCTCCCGAAATGACCTGGAGGTCATGGAGATCCTGGTGAGCGGCGGGGCCAAGGTGGAGGCCAAGAATGTCTACAGCATCACCCCCTTGTTTGTGGCTGCCCAGAGCGGGCAGCTGGAGGCCCTGAGGTTCCTGGCCAAGCATGGTGAGTTATCACAGGGTACCCTGGCAAGGACCTCAGAGGTCAGCTGGGAAGGAAAACTGTGTGTCATCTTGTGGGCATCCTCTGATCCAGGGCCTTGCAGGGCTTTTCAGAGGATCCTGAGGCTGTGTTTAGGCTCAGTGGAGCTGCTGTGAGGAGATGCTGGTGTGCTCGCCGTTACACACAAGCCTTGTACCATCTCTGGTCCAGAGCAACATCCTCCTTTCGCAAAAGAGGAATCTGAGGCCTGGAAAGAGGAAGTGACTTATCTACAGAATTAGCTGAAGGACTATCTAGATTCTTGGGCTCTTGATGCCCCAACCACGGTTCTTTCTGCTACGTCACACTGTTGGGCCGGAAGACCTCAGATGTAGATCACATCCTTGTTTTGCAGGTGATTCAAACAAAGGACCAGGGTGAGAAAGTGATTTGTCCAAGATCACACAGTAAGTTCGTGATAGACATGGGGTCTGAACCCAGGTCTCTGCCCTAATTTCCCATGAAAAGAAATCTTAACTGGAGAAACTAAAACAGTACCGTTTGTGCCATGGTGTCCCAGTAGCAAAGACGGAAAGACCACACCTAAAAAAGCTTTGTATTTTGACAACTCCCCGAACTCCCCTTGGATTTCTTTTCATTCTCAATGGAAGGAAGATTCCCTTTGAACACTGGGGAGGTTGAGGCTATGCAGACCTTGGAGCTGTGCCACAAGAAATGGTTGAGCACCTTCTGTGTGTCAGACCTCCTGCTAAGCATGGACCTGTGATGGGTAGAGTGTGAGCTGGGCATCGTCCTAGCTCCTCTATAAACACGAGGAGACTGAGGCTCGAGAGGCTAAGTGACAGCTCATAATGAGAGCCTGGAGTCCAGCTTGTGTTTGCACATGGCCAGCGTCTCAGCCTAGAAGAATGACCCTGGGCCTTCGTTGGGACAAGAGGCCACATCCATAGTGTGTCGGGACAGACTGAGGCTCTTAGCCAGGCATAAATCTGCAATGAACACTCTGAGAACACAGAGGCCAAGGTGGAGTCCTGGAGCCCAGGCCAGCAGGCCATGCTGAGGGCAAGAGCACAGTGGGTGAGGGGGACTCCCCTTTCTAGGCAGCTGTTCTGTCCCCTGCCGACACTGAGGCAGAGACTGCTCCCTTCATGGGGGGGCTAAAGCCAGTTCCTACACAAATATTTTCCCTGTTTGATCAGGCTGCTTTGCTGACAAGCCTAGGCCTGCTGGAGAGCCTGACTCCAAGCTTGTTGAAGGTACCCCTACTCTCCCTCTGAGGGAAGGGCAGGACCAGGCTCTGTCCTGAGCTCTGCCCAGACAGCTGGCATAGGCTGTGCAGCTTCTAAGCCTGGTACTGTGCTGATGTTATCTTCTTTACACCTTTTAGTAACCATGAGAGGGCAAGACCATGATCCTGGTCAACATACAGGTAAACTGAGGTTTCTAAAAGCTACCTAGGGCCCCAGAGCTTGGGAGTCATGAAACAAAACTTGAATGGTCCCAATGGGCCATCAAGGCTTGTGCCCTTCTCTCAGGGCCAGAGTGAGCTTCACTGCTGTTGAAAATGAAGTTATCAGAAAGGTGAGGCAAGCAGATGGCTCTGTGAGGGGAGTTGTGGTTGACACAAGCCTTTGATCTCAGCCTTCACAAAACACGTCAGCTCATATGCTTCTGTAGCAAAAGCCTAGTTTCCTTTGCATAGAAATCATGTGCACACTGGTTCTCTTTCTCACCCCCATGAGATGCAGAAGATGTAGAAGACTGAGATGGAGACAGGCTGCCACCAGGCTTTAGTCCCCTTCCTGCCAGCATGGTTCAGTGATTCCTTGCTTTTTTAAATTTATTTTTACTGTTTTTTAGTGTGTGTGTGTGTGTGTGTGTGTGTGTGTGTGTGTGTGATTACCTGCAGAGACAAGAAGAGGGTACTGTTTCCACTGGAGCTGGAGTTACAGTTGGTTGTGGCTACTATAGGAACCCAGTGTCCCCTTTAAGTGCATGATCTTCACCACTGAGCCATCTCTCCAGTTCCTCAGTGATGCTTACAAGCAGAAATGAAGCCATGTCTCTATTGTTTCTGATGGAGAACAAAACAAATCCAGGGCTCGGGATGAGGCTCCACTGGTAGAGTGCTTGCCCAGCGTGCACAAAGTCCATGGCCCATCTCCAGCATCGCAAACAACAGTGTGGTGGTGTGTGCCTGCAATCCTATCATTCTAGAGTTGGAGGCAGGATGATCAAAAGTTCAAGGTCATCCTTGGCTACATTTGGAATTCAAGGCCAGCCTGGGCTACATGAGATGATGCCTCAGACCAATCAACTGTGCCAAAATATCCATCAAATGCAAATTCAGCTAACAAAGCCAGTGGGGTTTTCCTTTGGGAGCTTTGTGCTTAGCTGGAGCTGAGGCCACCATGAGGGTACAGCCTAGGGCCCTCCACGGTAAGGGCTGAAAGCCTGGTCTCCATCCTGCGGCCATGTGAGTTCAGGTTTGGCTTTACATCCATGAGTGGATGTGTCCTAGTCTCTGATGAAAAGCCTGCCCTAAGGTAAGCTTTGACCTCCCAGGGTTCTATGTGAATTCAGAGAAATAGTGTAAGAGCGTGGCTGCGTGATAAAGAACTTACTGTAGCTTTGACCTCCCAGGGTTCCTTGTAGATTTAGATAGTATAGGCATGGCACAGCACACAGCAGTTGTTAGGTAAGAGGTGCTCACCACATGATGGCACTGAATCACTGGTCACTCGCAGCTCTGCTTCTCTCTCTCTAGGAGCAGACATCAACACGCAAGCCAGTGACAGTGCATCAGCCCTCTATGAGGCCTGCAAGAATGAGCATGAAGACGTGGTGGAGTTTCTTCTCTCACAGGGAGCTGATGCCAACAAAGCCAACAAGGACGGCCTGCTCCCACTGCATGTCGCCTCCAAGAAGGGCAACTACAGGTCAGTCCAGGCAAGGCCATCATCTTGCACAGCACAGTTCTCCAGGGATGTCCAATGAAGGCAGAGTGGGGCAGGACACCTGCTTCAGTCTGTCCTCAAGGACAGGAAGGCCAGAGGCTGGCAGGGTGAAGGATACTTTCCTTGTGGAAGGTTTCAATGACCACATGTGACAACCACCATGCTAACAAGAGTACATGATTGCATGTGTGGTCCTTCCACTGCTTTCCATAGCCAACTCATTTAATCCTCTCAAGGGCTTGCTGAGGAGGAGGCCGTGGTGACCTCTTTTTTTTAGATGAGAAGCCCTTTAAGATAAATAGAGGTTGAGTCATTGGTCTACACAGCTTGTAGGTGACAGGAATTCACCTGCTTCAAATGACCCAGCTAATCCTACTTAGGGAGCAGAGAGGAGTCTGAACTCATGACTTTTGTTGTTGTTGCTGGGGTGGGAGGGTGCAGAGATAGCCTGCAGGGCATCCTAGCAAGCAGCCAAGGATGCCTACAGCAATGCAGAGGGACCAGTCACTGGGTACTTCCCTGTACTTCATGTTCAGGTGGGAGAAGCTCAACCTCTCTGGAAGCAATTTGCAGGAGGGAAGGTGTGCATTCTCTCTCTCTCTCTCTCTCTCTCTCTCTCTCTCTCTCTCCCTCTCCCTCTCCCTCTCCCTCTCCCTCTCTCTCTCCCTCTCCCATGCATGTGTACCTACTCTCTATGTCTGTCTGTCTCTCTCCTTCTCCCCCTCCCTCTTTCCCTCTCCTCCCTCCCATCCCCCCCCTCTCTCTCTCTCTCTCTCACACACACACACACACACACACACACACACACACACACACACACACACACACACACACGATGAAAGAGCATACAGTCCTAAGTTCCATGGTGGCCCCAGTAGAAAAGCACTGTTAAGTACCAGAGCAGAATGCACTGGAGCCAGCCTGTATCAGCCCATGCAAGCAAGCCCATTGCAGGCGTTGTCCCAGCAATGTTCACTCCATGGAGTAAGCTTCTCTCTGGAATCCCCAACATCCCACTCATCCAAGAGACAATTACTTAGAATTTTCCACTCACACATGGGTGGGGAAGGATGCTTGGCAGGTGGGATGCTGGCTGTTCCTGAGGACAGACACTTTGGTCATTTCTAAAGTGTGGCCTCATTGCCAAGCTATGGGATTCAGGTCCACAATGATGGCTCCTTTTACAGTACAAGAAACTGACACCCAGTAGCTAAAGAACCTTGTGCCTCAGTGGGCCAGCACCCAGGCCTAAGACTTAAGCCTCGGAAGTCAGATACTTTTCTATTGGCTGGGTGGTTCCCAACTGTGGACCCTGGTAAGCTTCTTTCCATTTTAGACAATTTTCATTACTTTTTCAAGATAGGATTTGTTTTGTTTTGTTTTTTTTTGAGACAGGGTTTCTCAGTAGCAGTGTGGGAGCCTGTTCTGGAACTTGCTCTGTAGACCAGGCTGGCCTCAAACTCACAGAGATCCTCTTTCTCCACCTCCCAAGTGCTGGGATTAAAGGTGTGTGCCACCACTGCCTGGCTCAAAGATGGTTTTTAAAGTACATCTTTTTTCCTAAAGTTGTTTTCAAATGAAACATTCACCACAGTGGTATAGTGGGAAGATGATTTACGGTTACTAGAAAACCCATGCCCTGTGCCTGGGTTGCCAATCTGGGAAACGCTCTAACTGCTCAGGCTGGCAGAAGAAAGCGAACAGATTATGTTTGGCATTGTCAGTAAGGTGGGGGTGTATATAGGGAAAGAGGAACGTCCACAGAAAACAAAGTAAAGGCCCAAGGAGCCTATACTGTCCCTCAGAGCCCCAGGTTTCCCTGTAAACTATCTTCATACGCAACCAGTTTCCCCGGGGGCTGCCCAGTGAAGGGTTAAAGTTGGATCTCCGGCAACCTCTGCCACCTGACTGGGCCAGGGCTCTTTGCTCACACCCTGGGCATGTGGCAATAGAAGCCCTCCCCATGCTGGCCTCCCACGGGCTAAGCAGGGATTTGATGTGACATTCCATAGGCATTCAGCCACCTGCCAAAACACTGCCTAACCAGGGCCTGGAGCTCAACGCCTGGAGCCTGAGGCCATTTGCCAGATGTGCCAATTCCACAGAACATGGGGTAAGAGTGCTTGGGCATGGCTTAGTCACCGAGGGGCACATTTTCTGTCTTCTATTCCCAGTGTGGTGCAGGGACCTTATGAACGAAAGACCAGAAGAATGGGGTAGACTTCCAAAGACCCCGGGAGCTGGACAAGAATGTGACCAAGGGCCCGGAAAGCAGGGGTTCCTGACCTCGGCTCTGCAGCCCTGATCCAGGCCCCACCTTAGCCCAGTTTATGGCACTGGGATGGCCTGGAGTAGATTGCCTGAGTTTCTACATGGTGACTGAGTGAGTTCCAGGAGCTTAGCACCTCTCCTGTGGCCAAGAGAAAACACGGGGTTGTATTTTGGAGTTCATGTCTGACCCACCATCATTAAATACCATTCTCTATACACGTGTATGATATGTGTGTGAAACACACGTCAGAGCTGACCGCGTGGTTCAGTGTGCTGGTAGCAGTGGTGGTTAGTTCCTGTGTGACAGGGTGAATGCTGACAAGGGTCAGGCCACCATGACCTTTTGACTAAGGGCTCCTCTGGCTTGGAGCAGTAGGCTAGGGCTGTGTCACTGTGCTCGGGACGCTGACTTCCAACTGCATTCTAACTTCGTACTGTGTGCTGATCAGACTAAGGCATGAGGTGTTATCTTAGCCTCCAAAGCAGGCTTGGCAAACAAGATGGTAGGTTGTGCTTTGAAATGTGGGTGCAAATCCCACCTTTCTGGGGTGTATGAAGAATAAAGGAGACAAAAGCACTAAGGTTGTGGGGTCATTTCTGATTTAAAGGAGTGACTATCAAGAGTGCTTTAAAGGGCGCCTGGCACACAGTGAACGCTTGGTGGCATAGTCATTGAGACTTTGAGGGTGAAGTGTTCCTAGCATCAGGGCCTCAGTGAGGGCTAGCTGTAGGTGTCGTTGTCATTGTCATTCAGTGTAATCTGTTGTAGGTGTGGTTTAGAGAGCTTAGTGGCATGCCTGAGATGGCCCAGCGTGGACCTGGTCACCAGGTCCATCTGGTTCTGAGCCCTGATACTCCCTTGTTGCCTATGCTGTCCCCTACACTCCACCCGACAAAGAGAGCTAACTGGAATTGAATACCTACTCACTGCTCCTGGGCGGGGTTAAGGCAAGCCATCAGCACTCACGGTGAGACTATATATGTATTATATATGTATTACATATATAACGACTATATACATTATATATTATATAACATATATATAATGTAATAAATAATACATGCTTTAGTAGTTTTCATCTTCACTAGTACCCCAGCTCTAGGGCAAGCAGAATGGGGGTTTCAATACTGAGAGGACCTGGACTGGGGTCCCAAGTCAGAGGCTGCCAAGTAGCCAGATGCTGCCCAGGGCCTCCCAGAAACAGCCCTGGGCTGGGTCTGTTTGGCTTTCTGGGATAAGTCAGGGAATCCCAACCTATTTTGGCATCACCTGCTTACTTCCTGCCCTCCATCCCACAAAATGACCTGGGGGAAAAGAGTCCTCTGCATAATGGGTTGTCCACATGGGCACTCTCCGTGGTTAGAAGTAGGAGACCAAAACCAGGCATGGTGGCATACTCCTGTGATGTCAGCACTTGGTAGGTAGAGGCAGGAGGATCAGAAATTCGAAGTCATTTGTGCCTGTGTATGAGTTTGGGGCCAGCCTGAGCCATAGAGACCTAATTACTTAATTAATAACTTACAAAGAGGCAGGCACCACAGAAAGTCCTGGCCCTGGGTATTCAGCGCCCCCACACTGCCCTGGCTTGCTGCCTGTCTTTATTCAGACACATTTGCTTCTCAACTCCAGTCCGGGGTCTCCATTTCCACCCTCTATAAAATGGCAGCACTGTCCTTTTCTCCTTCGGAGCTGGCCAGCACAGCACACCAACCCTTGACGCCTCAGTCCTAGAGAAGTAACCAGTGACCTGATGACTCACTGAGTTGCTGACTCGATGCTTCTGGGACTCGGGGCAGGGATTGTTGAGTTCCCACATTTCTGCCCCTTTCCTGGCCTGGGCAGGGAATCCTGGGAGACCAGCTGGGGCCTGCAGAGATCCCAGCCCATGGGCCAGCAGCCCAGCCCACCCCTGTCCCTGTTCTTTCCCGTGCTTGGGCGCGTCACGGCTGTTACCCTGCATTTGTTGGTCATGGCGGGGGGCCAGGGGCCCCAGCCCTGCCTTTGACCAGCACCTCTGAAGAGGAGGTCAAGCCCCTGGAGCCTGCACAAATAGAAATTAGGAGGCAATTAGCTCCCCTGAGTGTGTGAATCTCCTTCTGAGGTCTTAGAGGCAGATCTTAGCCAAAGGCAGCATCACCTATGACAACAAAGCTGTCCTTGGAGAACCCAGCAGGAGGTCGCTGGCATCTCAGTTCCAGGAAGCCAGAGGCAAGGACAGTGCCAGGAGGCAAGAGGCATGAGAACTGGCCTGGTGGCACCTGCTTTCCCCTCCCCATTCCCCAACATGGCCACCTCCTTAGAGCTCTACAGGGAGGCTGTGAGGTCACCTGTCAGCAGGGCTTCGATGAATCAGGGATTGAAATCAACAGTGTAAAGACTTGTTCTAGAAGGTGGCGGGGATCCAAGGGATGAGAGCCAAGATGAGGGGTCCTGGGGTCAAGAGCTGAGATGAGAGGTCCTGGGGTCGAACCCCTAGAGCTGTTTATTCTATGACCTCTGGTTTGTCGTTGGTTTTCTGAGCCACGTCTGTTAAAAAGATAGACACAGCTTGTTCTGGATACCCCATAGGGCTACGGTGAGGATAAAATGGGCCAGGCAAGTTAACACACTGTGAAAATTGCAAAACCCCATGACCTATCAGCTGTCACCCTGATTGCTCCACCAGAAGTAGGAGAGTAGTTAAGAGCGTAGTCTAAAGGATCAGACAATCTGAATTCAAATCTTGGCGGCCTCACTTCCTGGCTGTGTGTCCTTGGGGATTCTCTACCTTCCCTGGGCTTCCTCCTCTGTAAACTGAAGACTCTTAGGAATACAATCTCAAGTGTCCCCCCAGGAGAACTACGAAGTTTAATAGGTAGAGAGTTGAGATCAGTGCCCAAGCCGGCAGTCAGGAGCCAGGGCAGTGGGACCTCCAGCCTTGGCAGTGGCTGGCTAAGCTCTCCCTGTCCAACATGGGACTGTTGTTACAGTCTGGAGCTGGAGTTTCAAACTTCTGTGGGCTGTCCTGTGGGAGCTGGGACGGTTCTGGAGCTGGGTCCTCTGGAAGATTACCCAGAGCTCTTAACCTCTGAGCTGTCATCTCTCCATCCACAAGCATCCTTTTATTTAAGGGGCTGGAGGAGCTGGTGTTACACATTCAGGAGGAAAGCCGAATAATGCAGCAGAAGAGAACGAATCACTTGGGCACAGTAGATCAACCAGTCTGGGGCAAGAGTGGTTGAGACATTTCTACCTTTCTGGCTCCTTCCCTCCCCTCACCATGTCTAGAAGTTCCACCAGATGCCAGTGTAGCAGGAGAGGGAGCAAAGATAATTCAGCCCCAGAGTGTCCCTCCCAGTAAGTCCCTTAACCGTTTGAAGCCTCGATTGTTCTCTTCTGCAGAGTGGGGGCAACAAGACATGCTTTATGGGCTCTTGTAACGATAAAACAGGGCAAGGTCTGGCACCAGATTTCAGCATCCAGCTCTATGTACTATTCCTGCAGAGTGGTGTGGACTTTCAATGGGTGTGAAGGGCTTCCTGCCACTTTCTTCAGATTACGGAGAGCCACCATCTTTATCATTAAGGATCAATGTTTTGTCTGCATATATGTCTATGCACCATGTGTACGATTGGTGCCCGTGGTCACCAGAAGAGGATTTCATGTCCTCTGGAGCTGGAGTTACAAACTGCTGTGGGCTGTCCTGTGGGAGCTGGGACGGTTCTGGAACTGGGTCCTCTGGAAGTTTACCCAGAGCTCTTAACCTCTGAGCCGTCATCTCTCCATCCACAAGCATCCTTTTATTTAAGCTCGAATGAGTCCATGAGAGATGCTTGAAACCACAGCCCATCTGGCTGAGTTTTTTTTTTTTTTTTTTTTTTTTTTTTTTTTTTTTTTTTTTCTTTTTTTCTGGCTATGGGACTAGGTGGGGAAAGGCCAGCTGAGCATGGCTGGCCCCTTGGCGCCCCCCGCTGGCCGGGCCATGCACATGCGTGCCGTCTCCTGACCCGCACGTGCCTGCCTTCCACAGGATTGTGCAGATGCTGCTGCCGGTGACCAGCCGCACGCGCGTGCGCCGCAGTGGCATCAGCCCCCTGCATCTGGCAGCCGAGCGCAACCACGACGGGGTGCTGGAGGCGCTGCTGGCCGCGCGATTCGACGTGAACGCGCCTCTGGCGCCCGAACGCTCGCGCCTCTACGAGGACCGCCGGAGTTCCGCGCTCTACTTCGCCGTGGTCAACAACAACGTGTACGCCACCGAGCTGTTGCTGCTGGCGGGCGCCGACCCCAACAGCGACGTCATCAGCCCCCTGCTCGTGGCCATCCGCCACGGTTGCCTGCGCACCATGCAGCTGCTGTTGGACCACGGCGCCAACATCGATGCCTACATCGCCACGCACCCCACCGCCTTCCCCGCTACCATCATGTTTGCCATGAAGTGCCTGTCGTTGCTCAAGTTCCTCATGGACCTCGGCTGTGATGGCGAGCCCTGCTTCTCTTGCCTGTATGGCAATGGGCCGCACCCGCCCGCTCCGAGGCCCGGCCGCTTCCACGACGCTCCTGTGGACGACAAGGCACCCAGCGTGGTGCAGGTGCATGGAGGGAGGGGACAGGCGGGTGTCAGAGAAGGCAGGGTGGGCCGATAACCGTGCTCCCGAAGCAGGTTGGTTGGACTAGTGGTTATGGCAGGTGGAGAATGACCCCTGCTTGCAGTAGGGTAAAGGGATTGGATGCGAAACTCCAGGGTCAGTCACCCGTGGAAAACATTCAGCGGACAGGAAGGGGACAATGGAGCAGGCTGGTGTAAAATTCCGGGGAGGCTCTAAGACTCAGGACCGCCAGGCAGGTGACGGGTTGGCCTGTCTGTAACCCCGATGCAAGAGTAATGAGAGAGTCAGGTTTATCTCCGGCTACAGAGTAACTTAAAGGTCATCTTTAACGACTCGGTGAGAGTCTATCTCAAAATAAAGCAAAAGAGAGCCCGGAGAGATGGCTCAGCAGTTAAGAGCGTGTAAGGCTCTTGCAGAGGACTGCAGTTGGGATTTCAGTACATACCATGGGTGACTCACAACTACCTGTAACTCCAGTTCAAGGGGCTCTCCTGCCCTAGCCTGTGGGGACACTCATGCTCACATACATTCACACACATATGCAGAAGATAACTAAATGTAAAATAACTCTTAAAAAGTAAAATAGAGTATAAGAAAGAGCATTGAATGATGAAGTAGTTCACCCTCTGTCGAATAATAAAATAATAATAATAATAATAAATATAAGAGCATGTGAAATATACAGTTTATGTTCTTAGAAAAAAAACAACTCCTTGGAGTGAATGTCATGTGCACAATTTATAGGCAAGGAAATGGAAGCTCCGAGAACTGAGGGGACCAGCCCCACTCATCCATCTTGCATGTTAGGTGACAGATGCCAGTGCTAACAGGGGCCACACTGGAGGGGGATTCATAGAAGGAAACCTGGTCAGATCTTAGACACCCTCCCGGCCACCTGTCTGACATCCCCTCTAAGAGTGGTGTGCTCCTTTTTCAGTTCTGTGAGTTCCTGTCGGCCCCGGAAGTGAGCCGCTGGGCGGGACCCATCATCGATGTCCTTCTGGACTACGTGGGCAATGTGCAGCTATGCTCCCGGCTGAAGGAGCACATCGACAGCTTTGAGGACTGGGCCGTCATCAAGGAGAAGGCAGGTAGGGCTGTGGCTGCGGGTACCAGCGTCTCCTCCGTCCCACAGAGTTTCAGATCTCAGGCACTGTGACCCATGCCAGCACAGGCTGTGCCTGGGCCTGCTCTGCAGTTTCCACCCAATCTGCTGGTGGCTTCTGGGGTGATAAAGTCATCCAGCCTCAGAGAGATCGTGTCACCTGGGCCAAAGTCACATAGCGAGGTAGTAGCAGCCTAGATGCCAGCCCAGGCCTGACCCCATGTTAGTCCCTACTTCACTCAGTTTGAAATAGCTCTGGTAGCCTGAGGGAGCTGCCCAGCACCCAGATCTCATCCAGAGGGCAGCTCCCTACCCCAACGCTTTGTGCAGATGTGGAGCCTGCATTCCCACTAGGTTTGGGGCATACCAGAGCCAATGCTCTGAAGGTCACACACAGCGGCCTTTGTAGGGACACAAGGTGGCTATGAGGATGTTCTCTCGCCCCTGAACAGAGAAATAAGGCAGGCTGCTGACCCTCACCCCTTCAGCACTCAGATGGGAAAGTCTGGCTAGCTTGGGTTCAGGAGGCTAGACCCTGGTCATTTGTCTGTCAGGTGATAACTGGCTTTGCATTAGGTCATCACCATGCCACCAATGCTGTTCCCATCATTGTCCCCCATAGGACCCTGACTCTGATGTACTCAGTTCCTCCTTGATCTCACCCACTCCCTTGAGCCCTAATTGCTATAGGAACTTCCCAGGGCACAGTCTGGGTGAACAACTCTCAACTGATGCCTTTGACAAGTCAGTGGCAGCAGCAGCAGGGGCCACATGTCATCTATCTACCACCCACTCGGCTACTGCTATCGAGAATGTCACAACCATTCACTGGCTGCTGCCATCATGATCCCTGGCCACTAGAGGGGAGAGTGGTCCACACTCAGATGTGGGCCCATCGGTCCAGTCCTTTCCTTAGAAAGGGGCTCTCTCTCACAACTAGACTCCGCCCCGGGGCAGAGAGCTGTAGTGAGCACTTGTGAGCAGATGATATGTGGTTCTGAGGTCTCCCTCGGTTACTTTAAAGCCACCTTTCTCTGGCTGGATTGCCTCCCACTTCTGCACTAGGTGCTCTGAGGTTGATATCATTGCTCTGTGGAGAAAGCAGGCTAGCCCAGCACCCAGGCTCTCCGTGTCTTGGGCTACCCTCTTCCTCCCCCCCAAAAGGCCCTACTTTCCTAGAGGGAGGCTGAGGCCCTGATGTCAGAAATGATGGGAACAGTGGATGTTTGTCAGAAACCCCAGGGCAGCTTGTGGACATAAAATTGGGGCTGCTGCCATGTTTTGCTCTCCCCTCTCCTTCACACCCTTCTCACCATCTTCCTGGCCATGGCCTCTAAGGCTAGGTAGACACTTGCCATCTTCCCTGCTGGGAATGCCTTGGCCTCCGTCCCTCATCAAGAACAGTCCCTGGGGACCCCTCTCAGATGGTATGGAACCTTCTCCGTATCCTCCGGAAGGCACTGCTGCATCTCTGGTCCAGCACATGCTTGTTGGATGGATGGATGGGTGGATGGATAAATGAATGACATGTTTTAGCTTGACAAACTACTTCCCTGTACCCCCAATAAATTACCCAATTACCAGATGCACCCCTCTGCCTCTCTTTACTCCCACCTCCAAAATGAGCAAACACCAGAGCATAAGGTACTCCAGGGGTGCCTGGGAACAACCAAGTGGGAGTCTACAGCCTGCAGGGAGTTCCCCAGTCCTGCTGCCAATCTCTGCCCACTTCATCTGGCTTCTCAGTGACAGCAGGAGCCCCAAATAAGTCCTATGCAAGGGAATGCTTGAGAGGTCAAATTCTGACCAATTTATTGAGGCTGTTTGGGAGTCCAGGTTGCATGTGAAGAGAACCAGACAGGGATGTAAGCATGAATCCCATGAACATCCTGGGCAAGGTGGGTAGCCTTACCTGGGAAGCGGGTGTGGCATTTACCCTGCTCACATTGGGCTGTGCAGATCCACACAGGTTGAAGGTATAAATGCACTTTTCTAGTCCCAGCTTTGGGACTGGGGTTCCCAGCAGCAAGTACCTGCCCCTCTTGGACTCAGCCACATCACTGACTGAACCCACAGGCCATACCCCTTGCTCAGTGCAAACGACAAAAATGCATCTCCCATTTTCTCCTCTTTATAGAACCTCCGAGACCTCTGGCTCACCTCTGTCGGCTGCGGGTTCGGAAAGCCATAGGAAAATACCGGATAAAGCTGCTGGACACACTGCCGCTCCCAGGCAGGCTAATCAGATACCTGAAATATGAGAACACACAGTAACCAGCCTGGGAGGCAACGTGGTCTTCAGACTGTTTCCATGACACCTCAGGTGGACCGCATCCAGGAGCACCTGGGGTCAGAACGAGGCTGCAGAATGTGATCTTGCTTGGGTCTCTGTACTGGAGCTTCACCCAAAGCAAGCCCAAAGCAAGTGTGGAGTAGGCGAGGAACCTCCAGTTTCAAACTGTTGATTGGATCACAGACCTGCCTGCTCTGCCATTGGGCATTGTCGGAGACCTTCAGCCTGGGGCCAGGGCAGGGCTGGTCTGGGAAAGGCAGCCCAGGCAGGAATCCTGGCCTTCAGCTGGAGAACTTCTAGGAATGAGTTCATCCACTTGATACTACTTTGTCCAGCTACAAATCCCTCCTGAACTCTGAGCTTTCAGACTGGGGAAGGGGGACCCTCAGTCCAAGTGCTTCATTGAGTTCAATAAATGTTGCGTACTAATTTTCTGCCCTATAAGTCTCCCTTCAGACTTTGTGCATGGTAGCCAAGTGCTGCACCTACCCCTGAGCTACATTCTCAGCTCCCACCTTGCTCTTTGATTGGGGGTCTATCTGTTGCTGCAGCTAAGGCTGCTTTTCCCTCTCCAATTTCAAGTCTCCCCAGAGGTGCAGTGTGCTCCCCCCAGCTGCTTCCCATATGAAGGAGACTTGTGCCCTGAGTTCCTGTTGGGTATTGTCTCATTAAAGGTTTCTGCTTTTATTTTTTAACTACTGAGACATCTCTCCAGTCCCACTTTCTGCTTTTAAACGAAGCCTTCTGGCTTTTGATGTGACGGGTCTGCAGGTTCCCCTGGGGAAGCTGAGCCCCAGCTGGAAAAGGCTGGTTTAGGAGCAGAACTCAGGCAGAGTGGGGCTCAGCAGCACCTGAGAATATGGGTTGCTCCTGCTCTGGGAGGGGGGTGGTGTCCAAGGCACTCACTGCAGTAGACAACACGATCCGTGCCTGTAATCTGCCAGCCTGGAAGGGCCTCCAGGTGCCTAACTGTAGGAAATGACTTCTTGTAATAACAGAGACCAGACTTTCACATATACAACAGCCCGAGTAGCAGGTTTGTGTCCAATCTCACTTTTTGGGTGAGGAAATTTCAGCGTAGAGAAGTAACTTAAATTTGAACCCCTGCTGCTCAGTCTGGAGGAGGCTGAGAACCATTGCATAGTTTCAGAGGGTCTTAGTGTTGATGCTCTGGGCTAAGAGAGCACACACCTGCTCCTGGCCCTCCAGTGTTCTCTAAGACGGAGCATGGGCTAAGGATCTGCTCCTCCCACATACATGCCAGAAAATGACTTAGGACAACTCTGGGTCATGTCAATGTGACTCTGAAATCTTTTGATGCCTTTGGACAGAAAACCCCAGAATCCTGCCCACACTTCCCTAGCCAGCTGTACTTCTGGTGGACTCCCTGATGGGACTTGCGGCGGTGGGGGGGAGTAGCCTAGGAACACAGGGCCATGTGCAGCCTCTAACCCTGGATGAGGAGTTATGTCGTGTGATATTTTGTTTGTATTCTGACAAGTAAATCTTGCTTGGAGTCAGAGGGCAGAGCTAGCCACTAGTTAACCACAGAGGCCTGAAGATCTGTCTGTATGGAGAGGAGACAGGGAGTGATAAGGTGGAGCGGAGAGAGGATCTAGACCCCTTTGGACCGAGGAACTGGGAGGTGGCTGTTCCTCTGGTTTTCTGATCCTTCAGGATTTATTTGTTAGAACACAAATACCTCACAACAGAGTTACCTGAGGAACCGACTCAGAGGCAGACCACGAAGGAGATAGTGCCGAGGGATTGGCACACCTGTTAGGATCCCCTCTCTGGGGAGCAGAGGCTTGCCCAGCACCAGGCAAAGACCATGGTTTCATAAACTGTGTAGCCCAGTCACGCTAGAGTGTGCCTAGGCCAATGCCACGCAGGAAGCCGCCTAGCCCAGCAGCTTGCTGTCTGGAAACTGTCAGGAGAAGCCCCTGTTCTTTGCCCTCAGCACACATGCTATCCAGCCACAGGCAGAGGTCTCCACATTTCGTTGTGGCTGAGAGCAATCGGAAGAAGGCTCAGGATGGGAGTGAGTTAGAGACTGTGGCTTCAGGGCTTGGGGTTTGAGTTCTGTTTTGTTTTGGTTCGCTGTGGACATATAACCATGTCCACAGGATTAAAAGGGACAGTTTAGCCAAACTGCTTTGGTCACAAGAAACTGAAATCTCATTTGTCCTGGTTTTCTCTCTAACCAGGATTATGCACGGCCACTCTGGCAAGGCCTAAGCTGCCGCACAGGCACACCAGAATTAGAGCTCTACCTCCCTGGGACAGAGCATCCTGAGCCACAGAGATCCAGGCTTTGCACACCTCTTTCTTCAGCTGTCTGGACCAAGCACCCTTCCCCCAAGGTCTTTCCCCATCCTTCCCCACCTGTTTCCCGTGAATTGAGCCATGGCTCCCGGGACCCATCTCCAGCTGCCTCAGAGGCTTCAAGCCACCTCCTCCCTGAGCATCCTCTATACCAACCCTGCATCTGGGAACTACCCCACTTCATGACATCCAAGAGGTGGAAACTGCAAAAGAAATCTTTATTTTTTTTTAACTTTCTCAATATTTACAAAGAACAAAATGAACAAGTGAGATGCCCCCCAAGCCCAGAAGATGGCAGCTGAACGGGTGTGTAATGGGCTGCTGCCAGACTAGGGTCCCCCTGCCCATGGTCTCCACAGGACAGGGAGATGAGGCTTCCGGGAAAGGCCTCCTGTGCCTGGCCCCGCAGCCTGCAAGAGTCAATTAGATGCCTGAGGAGCCCCCTCCCTGAGGCAGCCTGGCTAGACCCCTGCTCAGCTCCCTTCTCACACAGAGAGCTTATCAGAGACCCCATCCTGCAGGCCAAAAAAAAAGGGGGGGGGCTGAGGCCGTCCATCTAGAGGTAGCCGAAGACATTGAAGATGGGTGGAGGCATGGCTGGCTTAGTGGGGATAGGCTTCAGAACCACAGGTCTGTACACTTTTGGCCCTGAACTGTCCACATCCTTGCAGAAGTGGGCCAGCTCCACAGGAGAGGCTGGGCTTTTCCTCCACAAGCCCAGACTGGGTACTGGGCCTTGAGGTAGGACCCCTGGAAGGCTGGGGAAGATGGGCTGTCCATGGTACTGGAATGGGCAGTAGCTCCAGGCATCAAGGCTGCCTACCAAGGATACCCCAGACATCTTGAGTGGCTCCATGTCAGCTAGCACTCTTGGGGACATGGGCAATGGAGCAGGAGCAGTCTCAGGCCCCAGGGACTCCAGACCCTTGCAATTTTTCTTATTCTCATACAGAGATGCCTCCCTGGGGGCGAGGCCCACCTCCAGCCCCATTGGGTAGCTGAGGGTGGGCCTTGGTTCCTCCCAGAATGAAGCAGGCAGCTGTCTCTTCCTCATGGGCACCTGGCCAGGTCTAGCAGCCTCTGGATTCAGGCCCTGGAAGCTCTGCTCCTTAGAAAGGCACTCCTCCCTGAAGGGGGTCCCCAGGGCCTTCTCCTTGTAGCCCCCACCCCCGCCAGGGTTGGATTCTGGACAGGGATGGAGAGGCAGCTGCCCAGGCCTCTCTTCAGGCCCCCTTTGCAGGTGAGGCTCTGTCACCCTGCCAGGCAAACCCCTAGGGAGCCTGGAATACTTCTGAGAGAAGCGCTTGAGTTGCTTCTGCAGGTACTTGCGATGGTCCACAGAGCGGCGGCAGGGTGCAGACTTGTCCAGGGCTGCCTTGATGTCACTGGACGCCAGGTTCACAAAATTCAGTAGCATCTTCACATCGCTGTCAGCTGCCATCACCACGGGAACTGTGCTGGGCTTTCCATGAAGAGTGTGGGCTCTGCTGGGGGCTGGAGGCTCCAAAGAGAGCACAGGGCAGACCTGAGGAACACAAAAGGCAGCTGGACTCTCTCCAGGGCACTTACACCTTCCCCAGGGCCACCAGGACTGACTGCAAAAAAGCTCCCAACCCAGGCACCCTTCTGTCCCCAACAGAATTTACAATGGGACACCTGGTAAGTCATTCAGCATTTCTCGGCTGAGATGAGACAGGTGCCAGCTATTTCAGTCTTTTAGGGTCTGTGGCCCTCCCCAGGAAATCGAGGCTCAGAAAAAAAGCAAGCACCTTTCTCAAAGCCATCCAGCCACAAGTGGCATTGCTGGGGCCACATTCCCAGCTGGTCGCGTCTCCCACATACTGTGAGGCCAGCATGCACAACTCACCATTCAAGTTTTTATTTTCGGAGCCAAAGAAATTCTCTACAGAAAGCCAAGCCCTCTTCCCCCTCCTTGGTGGTGGCCTCCCCCTCCCACCACCCCGCCCCCTCTGCCGTCCCCACGCTCCACCCCCAACTCTCACACAGGGCCAGGCAGGATCCCTGTCTAACACTTAATCTAGACCTGCCTTCAAGGCTCATCTCAGGCCGCCGGCGGCAGGAACTCCCCTATAGAACCATCTGCAGCGATTTCATGCCTCCTCGGCCGCCACCCACAGCACTGTGCCCCTCCCCCAAGGCCCTAGCCCGCTCACACCCTCCACCCAGCCAGGACAAACCACTTGGGACTCCACACTGACCGAAGGTGCAGGCTGGGACCCCCGCCAACGTGGCCGGCAGGTTCCCCACCGTAGACCCAGGCAAGCCCGGCGAGCTGGCGTGCAGCGAGCTCCGTGCAGGGTGAGAAGCAGTTGTGCAGCCCTTGAGTGGGCTGAATGGAGGACAAGTCCGGAGCTGGGGGGCCCTCAGGCCAATCAGGAGCGCCTCTCCAGATACAAAGCATCCCAATCAGGCGGCGGAGCCCCGGTCCCACATTCTTTGCCGTCACAAATTGTCACCATGGGGACCATCACAAAAAAAGACAGCTCCCAAATGCAATCATTTCCCGGTAAATTTCTACCCTTCAGCCCCACTTTCCTAGGCCTCCACATGCCCCCCTCCCCTTGACCTCGGTACCCTGGTTTCTTGAGGGGTGTGTGTGTGTGTGTGTGTGTGTGTGTGTGTGTGTGTGTGTGTGTGTTTTATGATGTTCAGGATCAAGGAGGGCTGGATGCAGTGGAGACAGGCACCCAACCTTCCCAAGATACTCCAGGCCTCCAGCTGCCATGCTCCAGTGCAGACAGACAATCGGATGGGGTAAGCCGGGGTGGGCTGCTTTCCCTCTGCCCTTGAGTGTTGAGCGTGTGCTCTCTGACTCTTTCTGTCCTCCTGTCTCTTGCCTCTTTCACCACCCTTCCTGAAGGGTCCCCTGGGATGGGTGGAGAGGTATGCTGATGTGGGGAAAGGTAGCCCTGACTAGCTAGCTGAGCGGTGCTGGGATATCCATGGGAAGGGAGCCGGGGCTCTCAGGAATCTTGTCTTTATGTCTGCTTCCTCAATTGAGCTGCACAAAGCCTGAATTGCCCATTCAGTGCGGCCGGACAAAAGGGTGGCGTTGCACGGTCCCCTTGCATTTGTAGTCAAACAGTTAGGGACTTAAATCGAGTCGTCATGATGGAGAAAGAGGTGGACAAAGCCCATAGAATTGCCATCAGCAAACATTTTCCTGTGTCATATTAGCTAGTCTCCATGGCTCCCCCTGGCCCAGGGACAATGGCACAAGTTTGCACACTTGGCTACTGTCACCGTGCCAACGCCGGCAGGGCTGCAAGCAGGGCTGCTCAGTTGGAGCAAGCAAGGGAGCCCAGGCTGCCTCGGCCCTGCCCACCAACTGCTCAGAGAGAAGGTGAGGCCGATAGCCACATGGTGAGCGAGCAAGCGAGCGAGGCTGCCTGGGAAGTGCTCTGGGGCAGGGTCTCCATGCCAGCCAGTTAAGTGTACCCCACACAGCTCCTCTCCTCCCCTTTCCCCGTATTTCTGCCACTTTCCTCCTCCTGTCTCCATCTGTATACCAGCCCACACCTTCATACCATAGCCTAAATGGCAGACCGAAATGGCTACATGGCCTCACTCAGGAGTGGTGCCAAGAGACTGCTACTGCGGGGATGGGACACCTGTCTATAGTAGCCCGAGGAGCCCTCCTCTGGAGATGGCCCAGGGCTAATGAGTGGCGATTCTGATGCCCAGGACTAGCACATGTTCTCTGAGCAGAGCCGGGGCACAACAGACAGGGGTGTGTGGGGCTGTGGATACCTGTAGTGGCAGCCACCACTTGCGCTGGTTTTCCTCAGCATGACTGAGGGCCATGCCATTGCTACTTTAACCCCCAGAGGTTTGGGAGGGGGAGCTTCTGCAGCAGCATCCCAGCCTGCCCTGACAGGTATCAGCAGGCACCATCCTTCCTACTCCAAACTCTTGGCACACTCTGCTGGAGATATTCTCTGAGGTCCTGTCTGAGATCCTGTGGCCACAGGGTTAGACTCCAGATAGCTCCCCTCAGACCCTACGTGTTTGGGACTAACCCTTTATCTCCCACCATGCTGGGGCATTGGCTCACATATCCATCCCTTTTCTGCCCTGGCAGTCAGCACCTGGCCTGACCTGTGGGCCCTATTCCCTGGAGCTAGGCTGCTCCCAACAATGTTGCTGTCAGTGGATCAGCTTCCTGTAAGACGGCAAGATAGCAACATGCTTGTGTCCCTTAGTGTAGTGTTGTCTCCATGCTTCCCAGGTTAGTGGGCTCTGTGGGAATCCAATCTTAAAATGCCTTGGGGTAGGAAGGAATTACTCAGTGGTGAAACCCTACCATGCCCCAAACAAGCTCTTAATGTGTGCTGTCACCAAGGCTTGGCAGAGGGTGGTTTCTTGTTTCTGGAAGTAACTATCAATTCCACTGACTAGCTTGCATCCTGTTGACTGGAAACAACTTCTTGTTTCCTTTGTTTGCTACCCAACTCTAGCCAGGTAAGGGCAGTGTGGGTTTGGCTGCAGGTTTGTTCTAGAACTGTGGAAGCAGAGGTGTCCTTTGCAAAAGACACTTAACAGCTGCTGTGACTGGACCACAAATGATTGTCTTGCTTCCCCAGCGTGGTGGCACTTAAAACAGGAGACAGACTCCCAGTTGTGCCCAGGTAGGAGTCTCTGCCAAGCTCTGCCAAGGGCAAATGAGCTGAGCTGAAGGACTAAGCTAATCAGAGAGCAGCGCCCCAACCTGTGTGCTGGGGAGCCCCCACTGCCAATTCTGTGACCTGTAACCCTTGATCTCAGCAATGCAAAATCCTACTTGACTCTAGAGTGGAAGGGAATGAGTGTTGAATGTTGTCTCCCAAGATGCCAGAATTACTGTCTGACCAAGAGCCACTGTCCATGGGCAGGGGATGACAGATCACTGCTGGCAGTGCACCCCAGTCTTTGGTTGTGACATCCCTGTGTGCTGTGGCCTGACAGCTGTCAACTAGGGCCAGACCTAATTTCCCCCAGGGACTCTGCCTTGCTCTGACCATCCCAGTTCTGGGGATGAATGCACCCAACCACTCTTGACTTGAGGACCATGAAAGGCCACTTGGGGTACAGCAGCTTGCTAGAAGCTGTTAATACGAGGCAGGCCTTGTATGCTGGCTTATGTAACCTCTTACGTAACAGCAGCATTTCTGTCAAAGTCCAGCCCGCAGCAAGTGTCGACTGCAATCAGGCCTGATGAGGGATGGGAGGCATTGGGTGGAAGTAAGCTCCTTTGGCTTCTAGAATGAGTGTCTCCTGTTCTGGCTGCCCAACTTCATGGTTAATGATGACTCACAGTATGACTGTGACCACAGAATGACTGGGATCATGGGTAGTTACAGCCCAGTGTGGTCACTTCCAGCAGCAAGGGAGGCAGGGTGTAACTTAGGAGTCCCAACCTTGGTAAATGCTTTGATTTCTCCCGATACAAATCAGGGTGGACTTAACCTCACTTACTAGTCTGGGACCCTTAGTATAGCTAGAGGTCCAGATGGGATCTAAGGACAGCAGGCTTCAGGCAGAGATAGCACAGCCATTCTCCTTCAATTACCCAGGGCCTCTGGAGAGCAGACTTCAGGAAGGAATTTGGAGTGAGTGTGCACACAGTGCTCCTTGTCTGCTTGCTGATGTTGGGGAAAGCAGTGGAGGATGACATACGCAGTGGGCATGGCTGCCACCCCTGCTCTACAGAGGGCACTAGGCATGAGTGGTGACACAGGAGTGGCTGTGATGGGTTATAAATCCTTCTGACAATGAGCTGTGTCTCAAATTCCTCTCCCTTAAGGTGGAGGAATCACAGCCCCTGGCAAAATTGATACTGTGATCAAAACTCTTCAAAAAGTAAAGAAGAGGCTTCCTGGCATGCAACCAACACCATCCCCTCCTCCTCAATGCTCCACAGAGCTTGACCGACCTTCCTCTGTAAAGTGGGGTTGGTGAGGCACAGTGTGACAGTTGTGATTTTGTGGCCCAGTGCTCTTTCCCCACTGGATCCTGGCCCCACATTCCTCGTATCCCCACCCTCAGGCCCACCACAGACAGATACTTCACCTTGACTGTGTCCTCTCCTGTCCTTATGCTGTGTCCTGTCCAGTCAGGGCACTGGCCAGGAATGAAAAGTCAGTTTAATCTCAACTGTCAATTCGGATTTGATTGGTGATGCCTCCAAGGAGCCTTGTGGGATGATTCCGAGGCCAACATGGAATTTGGAATGCTCTCTGATCATCTAGTGATGTCTGCCTTGAGGGTGGATGGAGATGGTCTCTGGGTGCCAGGTCCTGATTCCATGTGAAGATGACAGGACACAAAGCTTGGCATTATAGTCATCTGACCCTTGCGATTTTAATCAAGCAAACAAAACACTGGAGAAGGGCAGTGACTTATCCATGCACGAATTTCTTTAACCAGGTCCCAGACCTCTCGCTTCCCCGGGGAGAGTGCATCAGTTCAACTCAACAGGCTTTTGTTTTCCTTGAGATAA